TCGGGCAGAAGAAGCCCTCGGGGCAGTCGTAGCACGTCGTGGCCCCGAAGGCCGACTGGTAGCGGCCCGCCTCGCACTCCGTGCAGAGCACCGTCTCCGTGGCCGGGGCGTAGGTGCCCGGCTCGCAGAGCGTGCAGGCGCAGCTCCCGGCGGCCACGGCGTACGTGCCGACCTCGCAGACCGTGCACGACGTCGTCGGCCCGTTCGACGGCGCGTACGTGCCCGTCGGGCAGCTGTAGCAGTAGGTCTGGGCCGTGTAGGGCTGGTAGGTGCCCGGCTCGCACTCCGGGCACGACGCGCAGCTCGTGCAGCCGCTGTCGCAGGAGTACTCGTAGTACGCGCCGGACCAGTGCTGCACGTCGCACTCCTCGTTGCAGCTCGCGCACTCGTAGCCGCTGCCGTAGGTGCCGACGGCGCAGGCGTTGCCCACGCGCCAGGTCGTCGTCTGGAGCGCGCGGCGCCGCGCGAGCGCGACGTCGCCGCCCGCGGCGGAGGTCACCGTCGCCGCGCCGGTGACCGCGCCGGACGCGGCGAGCGTCACGCGGAGGCCCGTCGCGCCGTCGCGCGACGCGTCGACGACGCCCGACTCGGCGACGCAGTCGAGCACCTGGGGCAGGGCGCCCCGCGGCGCCGCCAGGCCCACCTCGACGGAGCCGTCGTCGACGGCGAACGTCGCGGACAGCGCCGTCGCGGCCCTGGCCGCGCACACGCGCAGCTTCGCGAGCGGCCCGCTCGCCGCGGGCGCCGCCGCCGCCACGGCGGCGAAGAAGTCGTCGGCGGCGGCGCCGCGGGACGCGCCGGCCAGGGCACAGGCGGCGAACCGCATACGCTTGAAGCCGTACGCTAAGCTGCAAGATTCAAAAGAAATCCGGATTAGTGACTGCATGGTGTCGCAGCCCCGGCGCCCCCGACCTGCTCGCCCCCGCAGGCGCCGACAGAGAGGCGTAACCGCAGGCGCGCCTCTACTTGTCCGGTCCTAGTCCGGTCCTAGTAGCCCTCAGTCGCCTTAGTAGTCGCGGTCGCTGCGCCAGAAGGCGAGGACGTGGCCGAAGACGTCGTCGGGCGTCTTCAGGAAGAGCCGCTCGTGCGCGCGCACGCTCGACGACGGCGCCGCGCGGCCCTGCTCGCGGAGGGCCGGGAGGCGCTGGCGGAGGGCGAGGAGCTCGCGGCGCGGCGCCCGGACCCAAGACACCCACCCCCCCTCGGTGCGGACCGCGGCGAGGAATTCTTCCTTTGTTTTCCCCTCTTTCGTTGAGAGGTATCCTGTGAGCTCCGTCAGCACCTTGAGCCGCTCGATCGCCTCCGGCCAGGGGGGGGGTCAGGAGCCAGCAGCCGTATCTCATGTTGAGCGTCGTCAGCGCCCTGAGCCGGCCGATTGCCTCCGGCAGCGAGGTCAGACTCTGGCAGTAGTTCAGGTCGAGCGTCGTCAGCGCCACGAGCCCGCCCATCGCCACCGGCAGCGAGGTCAGACTCTCGCAGCAGCTCAGGTCGAGGGCCGTCAGCGCCGCGAGCCGGCCGATGGTCTGCGGGAGCGCGGTCAGGCTCTTGCAGCATCTCAGGTTGAGCGTCGTCAGCGCCGCGAGCCGGCCGATGGTCTGCGGCAGCGCGGTCAGGCTCCGGGAGTCGCGCAGGTCGAGGGCCGTCAGCGCCGCGAGCCGGCCGATGGTCTGCGGGAGCGCGGTCAGGCTTATGCAGTCGCGCAGGTTGAGCGTCGTCAGCGCCACGAGCCGGCCGATGGTCTGCGGCAGCGCGGTCAGGTTCACGCAGCCGCCCAGGTGGAGCGTCGTCAGCTCCGCGAGCCGGCCGATGGCGGCCACCGGCAGCGCGGTCAGGTCCTCGCAGTCGCGCAGGTCGAGCGTCGTCAGCGCGACGAGCCCGCCCATCGCCACCGGCAGCGAGGTCAGACTCTTGCAGTAGCTCAGGCTGAGCGTCGTCAGCGCCGAGAGCCGGCAGATCGCCCCCGGCAGCGCGGTCAGATTCTCGTCGCCCAGCTTGAGCGTCGTCAGCGCCTCGAGCTGGCCGATCGCCTCCGGCATCGCGGTCCATGGCGAGCAGCCCGACAGGTCGAGAGTTGTTACCCGCCCGTCCCGCGCACCCACGCCGTGCCACGCCCACGGGTCCGCGCCGCCGCCAAAGTGCCACTTGAACTCATCATCTGCGTCCCACAGCGCGAGAAGCACCGCGACGTCCCGGGCGCAGGCCTCGGCCGGGGGCTGCGCGGGCGCCGCCGCGCCGAAGGACAGCGTCGGCGCCGCGGCGAGCGCCGCGGCGGGCGCCGCGTCGGGCGCCGCGCCGGATAGCCCGTCGACGTCGCTCGGCGACTCGAGGGAGCCCACCATCAGAACCTCGAAGAACTCGGCCGCATACGCTTGAAGCCGTACGCTAAGCTGCAAGATCAAAAGAATCCGG